GTGCTCGGGCCTGGTGCACTGGGAAGACCCAGAGGGATCGGGTGGAGAGGGAGGTGGGAGGGGGGACCGGGATGGGGAATACATGTAAATCCATGGCTAATTCATTTCAATGTATGACAAAAAACACTGCAATGATGTAAAGTAATTAGCCTCCAACTAATAAAAATAAATGAAAAAAATTAAAAAAATAAATATAATAAAATAAAAAAAAAGAAAAAAAAAAGAAAGAGCACCTGAAACACAGCAATCTAAATAAGATGAAAACGCAAAGAAATACTCAGCAGGTAAAGGAAAATGAAAAATGCCTACCAAACCAAACCAAAGAGGAGGAGATAGGGAATCTACCTGAAAAAGAATTTAGAATAATGATAATAAAAATGATCCAAAAATCTTCAAAACAAAATGGAGTTACCGATAAATAGCCTGGAGACAAAGATTGAGAAGATGCAAGAAATGTTTAACAAGCACCTAGAAGAAATCAAAAAGAGTCAATTAATCATGAATAATGCAATAAATGAGATAAAAAAAACACGCTGGAGGGAATCAACAGTGGAATAACGGAGGCAGAAGATAGGATAAGTGAGGTAGAAGATAAAATGGTGGAAATAAATGAAGCAGAGAGGAAAAAAGAAAAAAAATCAAAAGAAATGAGGAGAAACTTAGGGACCTCTGGGGCAATGTGAAATGCCCCAACATTCGAACACATGTACACCCATGGCTGATTCATGTCAATGTATGGCAAAAACCATTACAATATTGTAAAGTAATTAGCCTCCAATTGAAATAAATTAATTAATAAACAAATCAGAGTAAATAATACTCATCATAACTCATCAGAAAATGGTGTTTAAAATTTTTGGTTTCTAATTTTTAAAATTGTAGTTGTATGTAAATACAGTTAATCTTATGCGTTGATCTTTTATCTTTCAACCTTGGGATTTTCCTTGAGGTGCTTCATCCTCTGAAAAGATCATGGGATGGCCTGTCAGGTGCCTGCCCACTCAGCCTAAGCGCTAGGGCCCCACAAAGTAGAGGTTAGAGTCACGATATGTTTTTCTGCACCAGAGAGGAGTCTAAAGACAGCTGTACCAGTACCTACTGTGTACTAAACTCTGACTGGTGCCTAAAAAGGCTGCTATGGACGGGAGGAGGCAGGGTCAGGCCTGCGCCTTGACTTATGGCAATTTCTGTCTATAATCTCATTAAGCAAGAATGTTCTCCTTGCTTCTGATGCAAGAACAATCTCAGCCCAAGTCTCTGCTACCCTCCACGTGGCTGAACTTGCCTGAACACCTGCACAGGTGCCATTAGGCAAACTGAAAACCAGGGATTTCCTGTGAGGCATGTACCAGACAAGAGACAGAAGAAGGATGGTTATTTACTCTTTTAAATTGAAGCTGGCATGTCCCTTAAGGAAGCATTTTTCACCTATTGGGAATACTCTAGAGTTTTAGGAATTCAGCCTTAGTAGATGTTTGTTTCATGGTCTTTCCTCATCTACAAGGGAGATGCTGTGGACTCAATAGTGTCTCCCTAAAATTCATATGTTGAAGCTTGACCCCCAATGTGATGTATTTGGAGATATAGCCTTTGGGACGGAATGAGGTTTAGATGAGGTTATGAGGGTAGGACCCTCAATATGAGGTCAGTGCCCCTATACAAAGTGACACCACAGAACTTACTTCTTCTCTCTCTCTCTCTCTCTCTCTCTCTCTCTCTCTCTCTCTCTCCCTACTGCCGTGTGAGGGCAGAGTGAGAAGGTGGCCATGTAAAGCCAGGTAGAGAGTTCACACCAGGTAGCAACCATCAAGCCATTTTGATCTCTGGCTTCCCAGGCTCCAGAACTGTGAGAAATAAACATCTGTTGCATCAGCTACACACAGTCTATGATAATCTGTTATGGCAGCCTAACCCCATCCTGGTCCTTAATAGCATGTGATCCTGGGAAGATGCCCAAGCCCCAGGGCCCCAGTTTTTCATCTGTGAAGCAAGCAGGTATGAGGAGCCCTGTCTGTAGACTGCAAGGATATAAATAAAGCACCTCATGCAGAACCTGGTTTGATCTTTATGATTAGCAGTTATTTGTACTAGTATTTGGATCTCAATTTCCCAACTCTGGGCTCTGGGAAATTTTGTTGTTGCTGTCACCTAAGATATCTCAGACTGCATGCAACACAATACGACAGAGAATGCTAATTTAGCCAGAAACTTTGTTTTATTAATAAAACTCAGCACGATCTCCTTCCCCGAGGATCTACTATTTAATTCAGGCATGGAGGAGTTTTCTCCAGCTGGACGCAACTCAAAGCTTCTACAATTTGTCAAGAACCAACTCCTTCTCTCCCTCCCAGCTGCTCTTCCATCCAAACTATGATTTTCACCAATTCCACCTCCACCGAAAATCTATACACTACTCAAGAGTTGCCCCTAATACTCTCAAGATTACCTAATAATAATGCCATGGACTCTGGCTCTCCAAGACCAGGGAAAACAATGCTTGTCCACGGACTTCTTGGCATCACTCTCAAGGAGTGTGACCACATACCGAGAAGAAATCCTAGCAGATGGAGGGTAGAAAACACCTACTTTGTCCCTGTGGTCAACAGCAATGCGACAAGAGCCAGGACCTCTTCCTTCTTGCCCCAGGACGAGATCTCTCTGGGGTTTACCCAGGATCGAAAAGGACTGTAGTCCACAGAATTCTCCAGGCCAGAATACTGGAGTGGGTAGCCTTTCCCTTCTCCAGGGGATCTTCCCAACCCAGGGATCGAACCTAGGTCTCCCACATTGCAGGTGGATTCTTTACCAGCTGAGTCACAAGGAAGCCCTCCAAAAGGACACCTCATAGCAATGATCCATTTCGGACTTTCTCTTCACCCCCAAGACACACAGTTTGCAGGCCTGAGGGCTGCCACCACTCAGCTTCATCACAATCACCTCTCATAGTCACCTCTCACAGGAACTCCGGCTTCCCAAAGCCCCAAACCACCCTGGCTCTGGCACCGACACTCCAGTGCTCCTTCTGGAGCCCCACCACCTCGACCCATGTTGCCCTGTTCTGTGGAGTTAGGGGACATCTCTCCATCTACCTTCTGTGACTGCGGTTCTTAGACCATCGCTCTAGGTGTGGGGGTGTCCTGCTTCTCCCAGTGTCCCCACTGCTAACACAGGGCCTTCCACAGAGCACAGCCTCCATGAAGGTCTTGGGCATAAATGAGCCAGTGAGCAGGGGCTCATTCATTCAGATTTTCTGCTACTTCTTAAATAAGCCAAACAAATCAAGGTTATTCATATATATTTTAATTTTACAGAATGACAGAAGAAAAGGATAAGAATTCAATAATTAACAACCATTTACTTTTATTTTTCTATTTCTTGACCCCATTAATTGTACTGCTAATTACTTTCACATTTCCAAGTAAATCCTTTTCCAATGCTATGTTATCTAATTTGGGATCACAAACCATGACTGAAGGCTTCCCAACTGATTTTACAAATAGGAAAACTCAGTCTTGAATTGGATAAATACAAATACATGTGAGATCAACATGAACTCAGATCAATTTTCTCCTACTTTCTTAAATAACCCGGGAAAATCCAAAGAAACAGAGATAGCTCAGCTGTACAAAATGATAGACAAAAAATATAAGAAGCAAGGCTTCACTACAATCACTTTTTATTTCCAAATTCTTCCACCAACTGTGTAACTGCTAAGAAAGTTCACATTTCCCAAATCATTCCAACTCCATATTAGCTTGTTCAAAACCATGAAATAAAATGGAAGAGTTCCTAATTTCCTTTCACAAAATAGCAAAACTCTTGTTCTTGAAATGGGTAAGTACAAACACGGTGTGATCAACGTCACTGACATAGTTAGACACTGGAACTCCTTAAGCCTTCTATTAAAAAGGAGTAATACCTGAAAAATTCCTAAAGAAAATAGAGATGAGTCTGCATGCCAGAGAAAAGGAACACAAAGATGCCACATACCAGGTTCCCGCAATGGGCCCAGGCCCTCACTGCTAAGAAGGCTGACTGCTACCTTTTCAGTCACAGAAGGAAAGATCAGCCTCCGTTCCTGCCCCCAAGACAAGCTGTTCAATGTGGGCCTGGAAGGAGCCTGGCTACTTCTCTGGCTCAAGAGTTCCCCTTTCTCCTCCCTCGCAGCCTCTGCAGAGGGGGTGAAAGGAGCTGGGACCCCTTCAATTGACTCTGTCCAGATACTCCAGGACTTTCAACTTGCTGGTCTCTGCATAGGCCCGGGGACCCCACAGGAACTCGGAGCGAGCAGGGTCGCTGTGAGGCACCTGCCGGTACTCTAGGTAACCCTCCTGCACCCACACTTGGGTCAGCAGCTCCCTGGGCTCCCCATAGATGTAGTGCTCACTGCCGGGAAACACCCCTATCCTACTGAGTGCGCCCCAGATCGCCTCCTCAGGGGCGCATTCGACCTCCACAGCAATCAGGCACAGGACCATCACCAGGAGGCCGGCCTTGGGCAACCTCTGCTCATCCCTCAGCGTCTCATTGAGGGTGAGGCCCAGGATGGGGACCAGGATATAGGTGGGCTCACTGGGGTCCACCTCCTTCACATCCAAACCTAAGATCAGCTGCAGGTACTCTATGGCTTGACCGAGGACCAACACGAAGTGGTCCTGGTAATCTTTGAGGACACTATTCAACATTTCTGCCTTTGTGATCGGCTCCTTGGCGAGATACCTACTGATCAAGAATTGTACCAGCTCACTCTTCTTCACCTGTAGTGCCTCTTGGAGTGAGGACCTGGCATTTTCCTGGTCATGCGAGGTGCTTGGCACTTCATCTTGCCTGCTGAAGCCATAGTCTTCAGATTGGCTCCCCGGAGTGGCAGCCATGGCAGTGGGAGAGGGGCAGACACCCACAGGGCTCTGGGGGAGACTGGCTGTTGCAGCAGCAGCAGCCTCCTCCAGGGTGCCCCAGACCGGGAGAGAGGAGGAGGAAGCTGCATCTCCTTCCTCCACCTGCTCCACCTCCGCCACCTGCTCCACCTGCTCCACCTGCTCCACCTCCTCCACCTGCTCCACCTGCTCCACCTCCTCCACATGCTCCGATTCCTTCACATGCTCCTCTTCCTCCATCTGGTCCACCTCCTCCACCTGCTCCACCTGCTCCACCTCCTCCACCTGCTCCACCTGCTCCACCTCCTCCACATGCTCCGATTCCTTCACATGCTCCTCTTCCTCCATCTGGTCCACCTCCTCCACCTGCTCCACCTCCTCCACCTGCTCCACCTGCTCCACCTCCTCCACCTGCTCCACCTCCTCCACATGCTCCGATTCCTCCACATGCTCCTCTTCCTCCATCTGCTCCACCTCCTCCACCTCCTCCACATGCTCCTCTTCCTCCACCTCCTCCACATGCTCCTCTTCCTCCACATGCTCCTCCTCCTCCATCTGCTCCTCCTCCTCCTCCTCCTCTTCACCCCAAAAGAACTGTGCCTCCAGCAGACCCTCGTCCAATCCTGGATCCTGAAAGACTCTCTCAGGAATGCGGATCTCAAGCATCTCAGGCATGATGACTGGGGTCGAACTGCAGACAGGACTGAGGAAGCTGGACAGATGGGGACCACAGGCCTGTAGGAGAGGGGGCTGTGAGCGGTCTCGGCTGAGAAACCCACCCTGGGCCGTTTGACTTAGGCCACTTACAGGTCTCCTCTTGAGGGGTGCCCTCGGGCTTCTTAGACGAGCTCCTGCTGAGCGGCCTGACCCCTGGCTACCCGAAGGAGGATGTGAGGTGGCTCCCTAAGGTGCAGCCAGCACAGCTTGAGGTTCCGGGGCTGACACAGAGGGGGAATTAGGGCCGTGTGGGGTCCCCTCTGTTCTGGGATAGGGAGTCCCTGGTGCACACTCAGGGAAAACAACTCACCTTGACTTCTGGCACTGCCTGGACCTCCTCTGCTTCTGACGTCTGGACAGCAGCCTCAGAGCTCCGCCTTCACCTCCTGGTTGCTGGAGCCCCTGTGAGAGAAATGGAGGGGGCACCTCGGGGGGGTAGACTGTGGCACAGATGTCCGCCTTCTGTGGTGATAGGAGGGGTGGAATCTGTGAGGTTCCCCCCACCCCCTTTGTGCAGTGGGCGGTCCCCTCGGGGATCCCTTGTAGTGCTCACCTTTCCCCTAACCGGCCTGGACCCTCCCCTTTGGGGACCTGAAGGGAAACTCAGAACAAGACCCGAGTCTGGACATGGTCCCAAATGCACTGAAGGGCCCCACATGCGGCTGTCCCTGCCCAGGGCCTCCCAGGAGTCCTAGGCTGGGGAGATGCTTAGGCCTCAGCTTCTCCTCACGTCCTGCCAGGCCTTCCAGCACTGACCACAGGGGCAGGGGTCTGCTCAGTCCTCTCTCGGGGTCCGGGGAGTCCACCCTCAGCGGACATGAAGCCTCCGCCCTCTGCCCAAACTCCTCACCTGCCGAGGCCCTAAGCCAGAGGTCAAGAAAACCCTCACCCTGCTTACCCCGTACCAGGGCCTCCAATATCCCCATCAAAGGCAAGGATCCCTCCCTGCGTTGGGGTCTAACCGCCTCATTCCTTCCTCGCATGGAGCCTGGACTCCAAGCAGGACCCGGATGTCCCCGTCCGCCATGTTGAAACCCTGCCACTTTCACCAGGTCCCCAGTCTCTCTGAGACCCGATGTCAGGATATGCTGCACATGGTCGTTCCACCCAGGGACTACCAGGGTCCCCTCGGGGGTCCGGCTCCCCTCACTCCTCCCTCAAGGTCCCCACCTTGACTCCCGCTAGGACCTGGGCTCTGTCTTCTCCACACCTGAGGCCCGGCTTCTCACACCGGAGCCCCAGTCTCTCTGACACCCGGATGTCACAAGTCCGCCCTTTGTACCAGGTCCCCAGGCTGAGACCCGGATGTCAGGAAGTCAGCCCCGTGTACTAGGTCCCCAGTCTGAGACCCGGATGTCAGGAAGTCAGCCCCCTGTACTAGGCCCCCAGTCTGAGACCCGGATGTCAGGAAGTCAGGCCATGCCTGTTGTGCTCATCATACCCCAGGGTCTCCCAGGACCAACAGCCAGGATGGGCTTCTCTTGGTCTCCTCTGATTGGGGTCCAGCATCCCCTCAATCCTCCCTCAGTGTCCTCACCTAAACTCCTTCAGAACCTAAGAATCGCCCCTCCAATCGCTGAGGCTTCCCCACTTATATCAAGTCTCCAATGTCCCTGAGACCCCGAGCTCCTGCCCCCACCAGAGTTGCCCCGTGCTGACAGCAGGTGCCGGGACCGGTGGGATTCCCTGTATCCTCCCTCAAGGTCCTCATCTTGAGCCCTGGCAGGTCCCAGGATGCCCCTTGTGTTGAGTGGAGGCGGAACCCTCACACCAAGGCCATCACTGCCCTGAGAGCCACCCCCAGGGGCAATCTTTGGACATGATATCAGGGCTCCAAGCCCAGGGCTTCCCAGAGCTGAGATGATGCCCCAACATTCCTCAACCCTCCTTCTGCTCTTCACTTTGATTCTCAGCAGGTCAGGGTACCAGCCTCTCACCCCGACCTTGTTCCCCTTAGATTCAGGCCCTCCCCAGCCAGGACCCCTGAGAGGCAAGCGGGAGTAACGGGCTCATTCCCACAATCCTGCCGGGGTCTCCCAGGGCTGAGAGCATTGACAACCTGGATGTCCTGGGGTCCCAGAGCCCCCTCAAGGGTCTACCTTGACTCCTAGCGGTTCCTTCACTCTGCTGACCTGAACCCAGGCACCTGACCCAGTCCCTCACTTCTCCCCTCCCATCGGGTTCAGTGACGTCACATCTGCACGCCAAGACGCACGGTCCCCCAGGGCTGTCGGGAGGGCTGCACATGCATCCCCTGGGGACCCTCAGTCTGCTCTGGTTCTCACCTTGAGTCTCCGCAGGATGTGGGCCCCCTCCCACTGCCCACCTGAGGCTGCACCCCACAGACCAAGCCTCTGACTCCCCGTGTTCACTGAGAAAGTGTGAGGCAGGTTGGGGGCTCAGCTTGTCAGCCCTGACCGGGGCACACAGGAGTCCCAGTAGGGGTGGAGTTGTATTCTATGGAACCCTCTGTTCCGGGGTGACTGGACCCCCTCATCCTCACTCAGGAGGGCGTCTCATTAACCCTTGAGAGAAGGCTGCAGTCCCAGCACAGATGCTGGATGGGGAGCTGCTGTGCCCATGACCTTGGGGGAGCACAGGTAACCACATACCTTCCCATGGGGCACCCTCAGCAGCAACCAGATTTCGGAATCCCTTTATTCTACCAGGATTCTTTTCTACACTGAAGAGATTGAACAGTGGAATTTGATGAAGTCCTGTTGTTTTCAGGTTGTCTGCATTGTCCAGAAAACTCAGCAGTGGCTGCAATACTGGAAAAGGTCAGTTTTCATCTCAATCCCAAAGAAGGGCAATGCCAAATAATCCAAACTGCTGCATAATTGCACTCATTTCACATGCTAACAAAATTCTTCAAGCTAGGTTTCAATAGTATGTGAACCAATAACTTCCAGGTGTACAAGCAGGATTTAGCAAGGACAGAGACTGAACAGCAACATTGTTCTGTGCTGATCAAATGTAATGAGGACAACCTCAGGGACCTCTGGGACAACGTGAAATGCCCGAACATTTGAATCATAAGAGTCCCAGGAGAAGAAGACAAAAAGAAACGCCAAGAGAAAATACTTGAGGAGCTAATAGTTGAAAACTTCTCTAAAAAGGGGGAAGGAAATAGTCACAAAAGTCCAGGAAACCCAGAGAGTCCCAAACAGGATAAACCCAAGGCAAAACACCCCAAGACACACATTAATCAAATTAACAAATATCAAACACAAAGAACAAATATTATTATATTTTTTTTTTAGAATAATTTTTTTCTTTTTTTTCCCAACTTTTTTTTATTAGTTGGAGGCTAATTTCTTTACAACATTGCAGTGGTTTTTGTCATACATTGACATGAATTAGCCATGGATTTACATGTATTCCCCGTCCCAGTCCCACCTCCCACCTCCCTCTCCACCCGATCCCTCTTGGTCTTCCCAGTGCACCAGGCCCGAGCACTTGTCTCATGCATCCAACCTGGGCTGGTGGTCTGTTTCACCCTAGATAATATACATGTTTCGATGCTGTTCTCTCAAAACATCCCACCCTCGCCTTCTCCCACAGAGTCCACAAGTCTGTTCTATACATCTGAGTCTCTTTTTCTGTTTTCAATATAGGGTTATCGTTACCATCTTTCTAAATTCCATATATATGTGTTAGTATACTGTAATGGTCTTTATCTTTCTGGCTTACTTCGCTCTGTATAATGGGCTCCAGTTTCATCCATCTCATTAGAACTGATTCAAATGAATTCTTTTTAGTGGCTGAGTAGTATTCCATGGTGTATATGTACCACAGCTTCCTCATCCATTCGTCTGCTGATGGGCATCTAGGTTGCTTCCATGTCCTGGCTATGATAAACAGTGCTGCGATGAACATTGGGGTGCACGTGTCTCTTTCAGATCTGGTTTCCTCGGTGTGTATGCCCAGAAGTGGGATTGCTGGGTCATATGGCAGTTCTATTTCCAGCTTTTTAAGGAATCTCCACACTGTTTTCCATAGTGGCTGTACTAATTTGCATTCCCACCAACAGTGTAAGAGGGTTCCCTTTTCTCCACACCCTCTCCAGCATTTATTGCTTGTAGACTTTTGGATAGCAGCCATCCTGACTGGCGTGTAATGGTACTTCATTGTGGGTTTGATTTGCATTTCTCTGATAATGAGTGATGTTGAGCATCTTTTCATGTGTTTTTTTGCCATCCGTATGTCTTCCTTGGAGAAATGTCTGTTTAGTTCTTTGGCCCCTTTTTTGATTGGGTCATTTATATTTCTGGAGTTGAGCTGGAGGTGTTGCTTGTATATTTTTGAGATTAATCCTTTGTCTGTTGCTTCGTTTGCTATTATTTTCTCCCAATCTGAGGGCTGTCTTTTCATCTTGCTTATAGTTTCCTTTGTTGTGCAAAAGCTTTTCAGTTTCATTAGGTCCCATTTGTTTATTTTTGCTTTTGTTTCTAAAATTCTGGGATGTGGGTCATAGAGGATCCTGCTGTGATTTATGTTGGAGAGTGTTTTGCCTATGTTCTCCTCTAGGAGTTTTATAGTTTCTGGTCTTACATTTAGATCTTTAATCCATTTTGAGTTTATTTTTGTGTATGGTGTTAGAAAGTGTTCTAGTTTCATTCTTTTACAGGTGGTTGACCAGTTTTCCCAGCACCACTTGTTAAAGAGGTTGTCTTTCTTCCATTGTATATCCTTGCCTCCTTTGTCGAAGATAAGGTGATCATAGGTTCGTGGATTTATCTCTGGGCTTTCCATTCTGTTCCATTGATCTATATTTCTGTCTTTGTGCCAGTACCATACTGTCTTGATGACTGTGGCTTTGTAGTATAGTCTGAAGTCAGGCAGGTTGATTCCTCCAGTTCCATTCTTCTTTCTCAAGGTTACTTTGGCTATTCGAGGTTTTTTGTATTTCCATACAAATTGTGAAATTATTTGTTCTAGTTCTGTGAAAAATACCA